TGGACAAACCAAGGATACGTAGCAAGACTCTGTCTCACAGATGGATGGATGGATGAATGAATGAATGAGTGGATGAATGAAACTATCGATGCCACTACGTTAGTAGTGATATTTTACTGGAATTTTGTGAGGTGTTACTATGGGGGAATGGGTAAATGGTACCTGGAAACTTCCTGTACTGTTTATTTCACACACATGCCAGCTTTGTTCAAACAGAACTCACAAGTCACACTGCCTGTCGCTTTCGGCCCACAATCCATCATGGCTGTGCAGCTGTTACCACAAACACCTTGACGCATTTCCTTGAACCCCAAAGAGACCTTTAGCAGTCTCTTCCACTATGCCCTCATTGCCCCTCAGCTACCGGACGCCTGCTTTCAGTCTCAGTAGCTTGGCCTGTTCTGGACACTCCATCAAAATGAAGCAGAGAACGGTGCCCTGTGACCAGCGCCTTCCCAGGGGCCATCCATGTTACGCTCTGACCAGCTCTTCATCCCTGTGTCCCAGGTTCCTAAGCTATGGACGTAACAATTTCTGCTTAAACATTAATTTCTTGGTGAAAATTCAGGTTGCTTATACTTTCTTTTTGAGACAGCTTTGCCATGTAGGCTAGACTGGCCTCAAACTTAAATCCTCCTCATAACTGCTGGGACTCTAGGCCACTTTCCCACTGCTATGAATAATGCTGTCATAAACATTCCTGTTCAGGCTTTGCTTTCACTTCTGTGTTTTCTCTCTCTTTCATTTTAAATTGAACTTGTTTCTTAATTTTACTTTGGCTTGGCATTACTTTCCATTTTTTAAATTTTATTTTATGTGTCTGAGTGTTTTGCCTGTATGCATATCTGTACACAAGTGCATGGTTGGTGCCCAAGAGACCAGTAGAAGGTATCAGATCCCTTGGAACTGGAGTTACTGACCACTGAGAACTGCCGTGTGATGCTAGGAATTGAATCCAAGTCCTCTGGAAGAGCAGCCAGTGATCTTTAAATTCTGAGCCGTCTCTACAATCACAAATGAATGCCAATTATCTCAAAAAAATTTAAAAAACCAAAAAAGAAACACACCATCTTTGTTCCACGTGGAAGCCCCTAGTAACTGTCTTCTCTATAGATCTTTCACGGTGCTACAGGATTTTGTGTATAGTTCATCAGGCATGTAACACCTTTCTGCATTGTTTCAATCGGGTCAACAGTCCTACTCGGTAGCATCTGTTACAACCTGGCTTCAGACAGGTTATTCTGACTATCTCTTTTAAAGAACTTAATAAACAATGTTTTTTGAGACAAGGTCTTACTATCTATCACCAGCTAGCCTGGAAATCACTGGACCAGACCAGCCTTGAATTCAGAGATCTGCCTCCTTCTGCCTCCCAGGTGGTGGGATTAGAGTGTGCCACCACACCTGTCAATTAAAAAAGAAAATGGAACACACGTTTCTCTACGTCAGATACAGAAATGCCCATTGTGCACATGAGAGGACACTCAGTATAGCTCATCTACAGAGAAAAGCGAATCAAAACCACAGTCTTCACATCCCTGAAAGCATTATCACAGGAACCTAACAAACCTCCCGGAACAAAAGACAGTTAGCAGCGGAAAGAACATTTGGGAATCTGGACCCCTGCATGCTCTCAGTGGGGATGTACACTGATGCTTCCACTTCCTTAAAACTTTACAAGTAAAGGCATCAGAGTAACCACTAACTGGGGGCTGGAGAGATGGCTCATTGGTTAAGAGTACCCGTTGCTCCTTCAGGGGACCTGAGTTCAGTTTCTCAGCACCCACACTGGACGGCTCATAAACACCTGTAACTCCAGCTCAGAGGTTCTGACACCCTCTCCTCCTTCCACAGGCACCCACACATGTGTATACACAGCCCTCCACCCCTGAAGGCGGGGTCATGCTGGGTCACAGCACCATTGTCCACTGTAGGCCAAGCATGAAAGCAAGCCCAAGTGCCATTGGCAAATGAATAAAGAACCGTGGTGTACGCATTTAAGGGCACATTTCTCCTTGTTAAGGTAGAAACATGAGTCGGAGTAGGCCAGCCCTCATCAGCTCAGCCCTGACACCTGTGCTGCCCACAGCAGCTGGGCCTTTCTGACCCTCACAGGCGGTACAGCAACCACGACATCCTTTTAAAGAGGACGCATTGACATGTAAGTCCCACCCAATCCACCTGAGAACCCGGATTTGAGTGTATTTGGTTTGCAGTGGGTGTGCATATCTCTCAGCTCGTAGTTCCATGCCTTAATTCTTGTTTCATAGCTGAACCTAAGGAGGGTGGAAGAAAACTCCAAGCTTTGGGGTGACTGAGTCCAGCCCAGGTAAACATAGTGCAGCTGAGCTGCCCTACAATCTTTTTGAGGACAGATATCAATCCCTTAGCCAGTAAATATGCATGGGAAGGCCAAACTGCATTACTTTCACATTGGTTTTATGATTAAAATTGAGAAAATCTATCAAGATATAGTTTGCAGATCAGATACGTCTGTGAGGGGCACTGTAGTTGATGCCATTTTTACTGTTGTTCTCTTTGATTTTAAAGAAACACAACAAATATTTCCATGGGGACTCAGGATTCTCTTTTGTAATTAATATATAATCTGCCAGTAGATGCTTTAAGACTGTACAAAAGAACTTTTCCTAAACGGCTTTAGTGCAACCTGATATAGAACCAAGAACACAGCACTGTCTAATTCTTGGGTGCCACACACAAAAGACACTTAGGAACCAAAAAAAAAAAAAAAAAAAAAGAAAGAAAAAACAAAAGGTGAATCACACCACAGAACACTTATGAAAAAATCCAAATCTAAGTACATGGTATAAAACAATGGCCCTGTGTTTTATAGGATATGAATGTCATAAAAGATGAAGACGCAGGGATTTTCCATAGTAAGGGAGGTGAAGATGTGTTAAGTGAGAAATCGTCAAAAGAACAATGTTGCATCTGTAATGGGAGCAGAGTTAGTACTATATTAACAGCTGTGGGTATCAATGTTAGGAGCAAAGAGTCACTATAGGCAATTACACTCAAGTGCCTCAACAGCAACAAAATGTGTGCATGCATTCACACATGAAACAAACAGTGAAGAACACTTAGTGACTGGTGAATACAGGTGGGTGGTATACAGCATTTGTTAAACCATCTTTGCCATATTCTGTGAATCTGGAAAGAGAAATAAATACTAAGAAATAAATACAAATATTTCCTCAGGGAGGAAAAAAGAAGATAGCCAGATTTTTAAAAAACTGGTTTTGTAGGTTCTAAAAAAGTTCAAAATAAGTCGGGTGGTCGTGGCGCACGCCTTTAATCCCAGCACTCAGGAGGCAGAGCCAGGAGGATCTCTGTGAGTTCGAGGCCAGCCTGGGCTACCAAGTGAGTTCCAGGAAAGGCGCAAAGCTACACAGAGAAACCCTGTCTTGAAAAACCAAAAAAAAAAAAAAAAAAAAAAGAAAAGTTCAAAATAAACTAAGCAGTAAATATTCCTAGTATACAATGAAGAGAAATGAAAATGTGTTCATATAATATTTTGTATATGAATGTTCTTACCAGTATTGTTCCAAACAGTAAAACAGAGTGTTGATGGGTGTAATGGCTTTTGTTGGGGTGATGAAAATATGTTCAGCTAGACTGGGGTGGATCATAGCTTGTGAACCTATTGACTGCCACTGAACTGTTTTGTTAGCATCATTAATTTTGTTAGCCAATGCTATGTTAATTTCTTTAAAGAGGAGGAAAATAGAGATGGTATCATGGCACAGGTAGCTGGGGCAAAAGACTGAGCCTAGAGCAAGCAATCAGGCCCAATCTCAAAGGTTCTGAGATAGCTGATTCAATGAGGAATGTAGAAAGAATGATATGACTGTAATTTACTTGAGCTGTATAAATTTTGTGTGTTCAGTCTTACATTGCAATATCAATTAATTGCAGCTGGGTCAGTATTTGCATATTTAAGACTTCTGCTATGATAGTACCACTAGGCCAAAGTACAGAGCCGAGATAGCAGGACCTAGATTTCCAAGGGAAAAACCCTACATCCCTTCCGGGTCTCCACGTCACACTTTGTGGCTGATACAGGCTGGGATCCTCCATTATTGTTAGCCAGGGCTGTGACATTTTCAAATTCATTTTGCTTTCATCCATACAAAGTTGGCAGAGAGTGATGCAGACACATGTGGTTTCCCATGCTACCCTGGCCAAGACAAAATCCTTTTTTTTTTTTTTTTGTTTTGTTTTAAAGAACTAAATGGAAAATGTGATATTTAGAAACTTTAAAAAGTATATCTTATCATAAGTAAATTTACATTCCATGAAAACTTGAGAAAACTGAGATTGTCAAGAAGTCCCTGGGGGCTGGAGAGACAACTCAGTGGTTAATGACACTTTCTGCTCTTGCAGAAGAGCTGGGTTCAAATCTTAGCACCCACATGAAGGCTCACAACCCCTTGGGACTTCAGTCCCAGGGGATCTGATGCCCTCTTCTGGACTCCAGTGGGTTCTAGGCATGAAAATCATGCATGTACAAACATAGTGCTCGTACACATGTAGGCAAAGCATCCATACACATAAAATAAAATGGAAATAAAAAATAAAAAGAATTCCCCAGATTACGCCTCTGCTCAAATCTTGATGTAGTTCCTCCCAGTCTGAGAAGCTAATACTTGGCTCTAAGGAAGCATTCATTAATAGTAGGTCTTTGGGCATCTTTTGTTGGTGACCCCCAAACTCAATAAATTGGAGGTTTCCTATTAAGCTAGTGGGTCCTACACCTGAGTATAGCCCAGAGTGTGAGGATGAGAGCCTGATGCAAGAGAGAGAGAGAAAAGATGAAAGGAATTACCAAAACAGACAGAACCTGCGGGCCAGAATTTGGCCTGAGACAGACAGGAAAGCAAGAAATTATGCTTCTGAGAAGCCTACTGCCTAGCTCAGTGACGGTCAGAGGCTTGAACCCCTCACCACTCTCCAGAGTGGGACACTGGCTGAACACTCACCCATCCAGACTTCTCCAAACTGTCCTGCGCCGAGCTTTTTCACCAACTTAATGGACTCCCGGGGGATCTCCCAGGCATCTTTATCCCACGGCTTCTGTGGTTTGGGACTAATGCATGCCTTTTCCAATCTCCTGCATAGACCATCAGACTGCGCTAAAGTGAAAGGAAGAACAAACGTTAAGACATGCATGCAGGACTGGTGAGATGCTCAGTGGGCAAAAAAAAAAAAAAAAAAAAAAAAAAAAAAAAAAAAAAAAAAAAAAAAAACAAAAACAAAAACAAAAACAAAAAAACCTTGCTGCCAAGCCTAACAACCTATAATAAATCCTGGATTCCCCAACACATACACAATAAATAAATTCGAATAAGAAGGAGCAGAAGCAGAAGAGGAAGAAGAAGGAGGAGGAGAAGAAAGAAAGGAAGGAAGGAAGGAAGGAAAGAAGAAAGAAAGAAAGAAAGAAAGGAAGGAAGGAAGGAAGGAAGGAAGGAAGGAGGAAGGAAAAGAAGAAATGCAAGCAACATAGTGTGTAGCCATGGCAGATGGGTGCCAGGGTCCCCTTAAATTCCAAAAATCAGAATCTCAAGTCTCCTATATAAAATAATGTAATACTTTATATGCATATCTTATTTTAAATCATCCTTGTATTACTTATATTACCAAATATAATGTAAACACTATGCTGTAATCCTGTATTGTTTAGGGAGTGCTGACAAGACATGCTCGGTGCAGATGCATTTAAAGATACTTGGCTGAATCCCTAATGCAGAACCTATACGGTACATTCTTTTTGTTTTAGAAGTGCCTATACAGGAGACCTTGAATAAGCAGTTATTCTTATAATGTCCAGTGTAATACCATCTAAAATGCTGATGGGAGTAACTTTTGCATAATCACAATTTCAAAATTACTAGAAGACAATTTGAAACATTTTATTTTATTCACTAACACTGCCAGCATATAAAAACAAAAACAATAAAGACAGTGATGGACTATCACACAAAAACATACTCTGATTCCTGATTCCTCGTAAGCTTAGTGGCACATGGGCAGGGGCGTAGTTAGGTTACTCCTGCACTTCAGAACAGGGTCACAGTACTACAAGCCCCCAACATCTCAGCCAGAAGCATTAGTGAATGGGAATGAGAGAGGGAGGAAGGATTCTGTAAGCCCAGTCCCTTGCTCTCTCCATACTGCCTTTGCTCCATGTTTTTGGACCTAAGAGAGCCTTTTAGATCAGGCAGCAGGAAGAAGCCACAGCAGCTCCTGCATCTTCAGTCACAAGGAAAGGACCCAAGGACACAGAGGTGAGCTTCACAAGACTAGAAACTGGTACTGGGCACAAGGCATCGACTTGCTACTTTTAAATATATCCTTAGAGCCATGCTGCGCACTTTTACCATGGACACATATTCCTTTTACATATATGCATTACACTCAGAGGCACAGATTTGCATATCTCCTATTTTGAATATTTGCACACATTAAGAATATGCATTATGCAAAAATAATCTATACTTTCCTCCACAGGAAGGGGGAGCATTGGATGTTAAATAGCTCATACCAAGGAAGAAGGCCATGGCAAATGCAGCAGCAATCTCACTCTGGATGTAGTGATAACCCCAGGTAGAGTGCGCAACTTAATGGTTTCCACTTTATCCAGAATGAAAGTGCGCCTTCACAACTAACCTGTGTTCACCTCCAGTCTAGTACTCAGATGGAAGTGTGCCTTCACAACCAGCCTGTGTTCACCTCTAGTCTAGTACTCAGATGGAAGTGTGCCTACAAAACCAACCTATGTTCACCTCCAGTCTAGTACTCAGATGGAAGTGTGCCTTCACAACCAACCTGTGTTCACCTCCAGTCTAGTATTCGGCAGCTCGCATGAGCTGACAGCTACCATGTAGATTAGAAAACTGGCAGACTTAGTCAACTGTAGGGATTTAAGGGTCTGAGCACATTTACTGAAGGCTACATTAAGCTGGGGTGTTCAGAAGACAAGGCCAATGGGATGCATTTTCAACTTATTTCAATTCCCAATAGGTTTATTAGAATTCATGCTTATTAGAAGTCAAGGAGTATCGACATATTGAGTTCGTACTACTTGTAGAATATTATCCACCACATTACCCGAAAGAAAATTTTCATACAAAGTAGTATCTGCCACTTGATACTAATCATTACAAAAATAATCTGCCTCTCCCAACATCCAGTGTTTACTTACTTTGGTAATGCTTAATCATGTCACTTATACAGGGAAAAGTGATCCGTGGAGAGATGTAATAACCACCATTGTCCAGACTTCTAATTTTGTAGTGTTTAATAACATCACCATGCACAGGGTCATAATCTCTGACAGACAGAGAGAAGCTTCCTGTGGGAAAAAGTTAAGAGGAGAACATGCCTATGTGTTATTAATAAGGTCTTTATTATACTACACTGTGGTACATTTTCTCATAAAATGTATAATACAATATGTATGTTTATAATGTATCATATATGTGATATATCATATATATTACATAATGTATCATATAATGTATTATATTATATAAAATATCACAATACCTACCCTGCAGCCAGGTGTCATGATATTTTAACCCAAGCACTTGGGAGGCAGAAGCAGGTGAACCTGGCCAGTTCTAGGCTAGCCAAGGCTACACAGTGAGACCCTGCTTCAATAAGGAAAATAAAAGATCCTATAAAAATTTGACTTGATAAATGACAATAGCATTTTGTTTGCTAGGCAAGTACCCAACACATCATCTTCCTTCTCCACCACAGTTTTCTGAAATAATTTATCTGAATAGAAAAATTATTTTGCATTTCCTCTTGATATTCAGGACTCACTTTCATGATAACACAACAAAACTGGAAGTGTGCTATGACCTGGCCATAATTATGGCTGTTTTTTATTTATTAACACTAATCATTTGAGTTTATTGTTTGTTATCAAAATATGAAATTTTCACTTTGAAAGGGTTTGCACAATGGCTAGGCAGGGAAAAAGAACTTTCTGTATGAGCCTGATAACCTGAATTCAACCCATAGAACCCACGAGGGAAGGAGAGAACTGAGTCTCACAGTTGCCTTCAGATCTCACATCTGTGCTTTGACAGGCAGGAATGCACACACGTACACACACACATACACACACACAAATAATAACAACAACAACAATAATAATAACAACATATTTAAAATAAAAAAATATTTAAGCGTGGCGCACACCTTTAACCACAACACTCAGGAGGCAGAGGCAGGGATCTCTGAGCTTGAGGTCAGCTTAATTTACATATTGATTTGCAGGCAGGCCAGGGGCTACATAGAAAGGCTCTGCCACAAAACAAAACAAAACAAAACAAAACAAAACAAAACAAAACAAAACCACCCCTTTTATTACCAGAATTACTATATTCTTCATTTTATTCATCCTGGAATGGTTTTTGAAGTGATTCCCTGGGCTAGGGCTGTAGCTCAGTAGTAGAATGCTTGCCTAGCATGCACAAGGCCCTAGGCTCCATGTCTAGGAAGAGTCCCTGAGTCCCTGTGCAGTCTTCTTCAAGGTCTCCAACCATTCACCCACCTTTTAAAGTCTCGCTTTCTCTGATAAGAAAAGCTCCTGCACTGTTCCCTGGCGCCAGAAGCTGCCGTTCTGCATCCTTCCTGGTTATGTCCTTGAAGAACCACCTGTGAAGATATTTTCACATTTCATAGGTGTTGTGGCAGGGAGGGAAAAGATGATGTGCATGTGAACAAGCAATGTAACCCGGCATTCAGAAACAACAAGATGGCCATGCGCCAGGACTCACTCTTCTGTCTCTAAGGTGTTGACCTTGGCCACGTAGTTGCTGGGGATGAAGCCTTCTCTCTTTGTTGAAAGGGACTTAGCTTTCCACCATTCCCCATGCCTGGAATGGAAAGAGAAGTCATGACCTACAATGGCAATTGTATTGAGGTGTTTATTTTGCAGAGTGACGGCAAGTGGGAGCAACCCCGGAATCCCAGAATCCAAGAGGAAAATTTCTTCCTTTTCATATGAAAGGTATGTTTAGTGACAGGAGCAAAAAAAGCATGCTTACAGCTTCAGTGTGGCTCGCTGTGTTCAGGGCTGCATAGAAAAGAGTTGGGAAAATGCCCATTTTATAGAAACCAAACATTTCTCACTTCCCCACGTGGCTAAGGTATGTTTTTAAGGATTCTTGTAGCAATCAGAGTCAAAGGAATACTGACTCAGAATTCTCATGTTATAAATTTGTAAAAACATCTGCTTTCTCCAGAGATAGGTGCCATGAATAAAGAAAAACAACAACAAAAATAAACCAAAACCAGTTCAGAGTGAGCCTCATCACCATGACACTGCATGACACTGCACTACCCAGAGGGCAGAGGAGAAGGAGGAAGGGCCAGGCCCAGAAGTAGCAGCTGAGCTACAGGAGCGGGGGTGGGGGGGGGGGGGGGGGGGGTTGGGGGGGTTGGGGGGGTTGGGGGGGTTGGGGGGGTTGGGGGTGGTGGTGGTGGTGGTGGTGGTGGTGGTGGTGGTGGTGGTGGTGGTGGGATGGGTCCCTGGAAGACTCCATATTCCTCTTCAAATACCCCCCAGACCTTGTCTGTGAGAGAAAGTCGATAGTACTTAACTGTGAGCTGTACCTGTGAACTGTTGACCCACACAGGCAGCCTGTGCCTGCTACATCTTCAAATTCAGCCAATTGTAGACTGAAAGTATGTAGAACTCCTAGGCTGAACTTTTTACTTTTCCATGCAGGGGTAGGAAAACTGTTATGCCTATGTTTTCTTCTTCTTCTCTGTTTAAGCACAACATAAGGCTATTTTTATAGCAAGCACAATCACATTGTATTAGACGTGAGACGTCATCCAGAGGTTGTCTGAAGTACTAGGAGGTCGTAGTGGAAGAGCTCTCCAGGCTCCAACCCTAATGGGGGAACAATTTGCAGGGGACAGCTGCCTGGAGAGAGAGAGCAATTCTTTGGGGATGTGGCCACTGGTAGATGGCCCCACTCTCATGTATTCATGGGCAGCACTGACTGGATTTAGTTGGTTATGAGAAGGAAAGGAGGAGGATGTGAAGTTGGGAGAGGTGTGAGTGTGGAATGTAGGGGACACTGGAGGAAGTAGAGGAGGTGAATATGAGCATGTGGTCCGGGAACGAGTTTTCCTGATAGATGCTCAGAGACAACTGTACACACACACACACACACACACACACACACGCACACACACACGCACACGCACACGCACACGCACACGCACACGCACACGCACACGCACACGCACACAATGCTCACCACAGTCCTGTGGTGTCATTCCCATTTCAAAAGTTAAAATTCCAAGGAACAGACTGAGTAACTTTTCAAGGTCATGCAACTGTCCGAAGGAAGGGCCATATTTAAGCACAGCTCATGCTGAAGCTCTGGACCAGCACTTATCTTGTCTTCCCTAAGGGAGTCTCCCCTTCCCGCCCCACTCCTCGGGCAGGTCTGGGCCAGGGTACTGCTTCATGCAAATTCAGTACAAGAAGGAAGTTAGACTTAAGTGCTGAGTTCCTTGTTCTCCTTCTTCACTGCCCTGTGCCCTGTGCCCTGACCAGGGTCACATGTGTGAGTCAACATACAAGGGTCAGGGAGACAAACCATCCAAGCAGCTTCAGGGCAGACGCTGCAGCTGAGCAGAGCTTTCCAGCATGACTGTGGCGAACCCTTGGAAATCACACCAACTGGCCCATGAGCCCCATCTAAATCTATGCAATATAACAAATGAAAATGGCCTTTCAAGCCTGTGTATATCCGTGTGTGTGTGTGCGTGTGTGTGTGCGTGTGTGTTCATGAATGTGCTGGTGCACTTGTGTTTGCAGGTATACATCACAGATGTACCTGGGTGTACATGCCAGAAGATGGCCTCACCTATCGTTCTTTGGATGCTGCCTATCTTGTTTTTAAAGACCATCTCTGAAGCCTGGGACTTGCCAAGTATGCTAGACCGGCTGCCAGAGAGTCCTCAGGGATCCACCTGTCTCCAGCTCCTCAGGGCTGTGCCAACATACCCCGCCTTTTCATTTTAAAGGTGGGTCCTGGGAACTAACTCAGGTTTGAGCTATCTCCCAAACTCCACAGTGGCCATCTTAAGTAGCATGCCACACAGAGCCAAACTTCTTAGGTAGCACATTGGTAAAGAAAGAAACTAATGTCTGTCCTTGTTGGGAGAAACGACAGAGGTGCACAGAGCCACACTGGGAAGGGAAGTTCCTTCTGCTCTATCCCTGCTGCCTAAGCAAAGCAAAAGAGCAATCTGCAAGAGCCGTGGCCAAGGTGCTACCAGGGCCTGGGCACACTTACTCTTCCAGGACTTTCATCTTTTCTCCTTTCTTGAAGGACAAGTCATCTGGGTGGATGCCATCATAAGGGTACAAGGCTACCACAATGTCCCCTTGCTCTTCTGGATCTAAGAACAAAAGATATAAACAAAGCCCTTTCAAAACCTATCAACATAAACACAAACGAAGGGAAGCAGTGGAGAGAAAGGCTGGGAAGGAAGCTGCATACAAATAACACGAGCTGCACATTGTGTACACCAAACTCACAGGAACCTACTGTAATTTCAAAATTATGTTTAGGAAAGGATGCACCTCTGATCATGGCAGCACTGTCATGGTCCCCAAAGGCAGAAGGCACTTTAGTATCCATCAGTGGAATGAACGAAACAAGATATATATGTACAATAGAATAATAGTCAATGAAAAGGAATTGAAATCCTCAACACAATATACTGTAGATGAGCCTTGAAGACCTTATGTTAGGTTAAATGAGCCAGGCACAAAATGACAAAGACTGTATATTTCCAGTTCACATGTGCTATCTAGTGCAATCAAACCCATAGGACAGAAAGTATAATGGTGGCTGCCTGGAGCAGAAGGGAGTGGAGAACCATGAGTGTTTAATGATAGAATTCCACTTGTGATAATGAAAACTTTCTCTGATGGATGCTGGTGAGGCTTGCACAGCAATGTGTACTTCCTGCCTCTGAACTCTACACTTAAAAAATGGCTAAAGGTGTGATAAACTTACATTACATATATTTTCCTACAACAACAAATAAAACATTAATTATATTGTTAAGAAAACATACCTTTTGTTTGAAACCTCTGTCCTGGTAAAAGTTGAGATTCTGGAACCTACGAAAGAGTATTTGTTAGGGAAAACAAGCATGTTCAGGTTTTTCTTTTCACATGCATGTTGTCTATCATTTTCTCTAACAGCCACGAATGAGGTTTAGATTTGCAGGTACTAAGCGGGGAAGAAGCGCTGAACAGAAATCTTATAGGGTGATGTCACTGACACCAGGGCTTAGAGCAAGGCTCCTGTGCTCAGTGCTGTCATCTGCAGGTCCCACCTCTACAGTCATTTTCAGGACTTTTCCTGGACGTGTAGTCCTTAGTCTGTGTCAGCAGATCAAGTGGGTATGGCTGCAGGAGATGGGGACTAGATGCCAACCACCATGATTTTTTCTCTTGTTTTTAACACAACTCCAATGTTTGAGGTAGCAGTTTGCCCAGCGTGATACCTGCTTCTAGACTTACAGCCCCCTATGCTTAAGGGAAAGAAGCATGTCATGAGCTCACTGGTTGGGTGGGGCCTTGGTAAAATGTGCCTCTTTCTGCCTAGAAAGAATTAAAGGTTGGAGGTACAGCAGCCATGGAAACCCAACTGTAGATAGGGCCAGTACAGCAAAACATCAAAGTAACAGAACCCTAATAACTGAGAAGTTGTCACCAGCCCAACTCCATGTTTCCTGAACTTATTTAAACATTTGATCAGGCCTATCACTAACAGACAAACACAAGCCCAACAGAGTGAGGCTTTCTTGTCTGACCCTGACACTGTCCCTATAGGGGTCAGGGTCACCCCCAGTTATGACAGCAGCAGGGTACATCACTGGGCAGACCCTGGTAGCACAGAGGACATGTGAGGTACCTTCTAATCCAAACCTATTCCCATAGAGCACTGCTGGGGGGTGATGACCTCTTCTAAGGACGTGCTGATAGGGCCTAAACTTCAAACCCTCTCCTCTGCTTCTCCTCGAGAGTCAGTTCATGGAACAGGACCAAAATGTTTATACTGACATATAAATTCTGCTGAGAGTGAACCCATAACATCTCCAATTCACTGAGGGGAAGGACAAAGGCACAGGAAGCCACGGGCCCATATTAACACTCAAGACTTAAAGAAATCTTATGCTGCTGTTTTAACCATTTAGATTTGCATAATTAAGAATTACAGTCTATTGGATATGATTTAGAGGAAGCAATTAAATGAGAAATTAAATATTTCTGAAATCAGCAAGCTGATCTGCAAATACCAGGAGATGAATTAAAGCACATTTTTATACAAAACTGTTGGCTGCCTAGGTTGGCCCTGAAATGTGTGCACCAAAGGATTAAAGGACCCCTCTAGAAATGGGGAATGCAGGTCATGCTAGTGCACCCAGCCCATTTTAACCACTTTTGTAAGACCAAAACTCATACATGTGGCCCCATAACACCATTCTAGATCTCTCTTGAGTAGATTTTCCTCAAGTGTTGTTGACTTCATATCAGTTCATTTCACCTCCTTTCAGAGCCCTGTATAATTAATGGGGTGCACGTATTTTTTACATGTGGCAAAGGCTGAGAGCTCTACTTATGAGGCCAAACTAAGCAACTTATGGAGAACATCTGTGGCCACAGACAACCTGAACTAAATTTTTTCTGGTGAGTGTTAAGAAACTAAGAGATTTTAAACACACTCACTATTGCTTTCCACCTTACTTGAAATCTTTTTTACACTGAGTATTTTTTTTTATTAGTCCCCCTTGCTTTCCTAAATAAAAGACACCTGAACAAGTAAACAAAACAAACAGACCAAAACAAACAAACAAAACAAAACAATCCTTGGATTTCAAAGCACACAAAACTATAGTATTTGCTAAGAGAAATAAACAGAACTTTTTTTTTTTTTTTGGTTTTTTTTTTTCTAGACAGGGTTTCTCTGTGTAGCTTTGTGCCTTTCCTGGAACTCACTTGGTAGTCCAGACTGGCCTTGAACTCACAGAGATCCGCCTGGCTCTGCCTCCCAAGTGCTGGGATTAAAGGCGTGCGCATAAACAGAACTTTTAATGAGAACTTTGAAGTATACAAGAACACTAACATGATGCCAGTGCCTTTTACTTTTCTATTAGTTACATTTATTACTATCTTTGCATAAATGAATAAAGCTTTTTTTTTTTTTTAAAGTAACTCTTGGCTGGTGGTGGCGCACACCTTTAATCCCAGGACTCACGAGGCAGAACCAGGTGGATCTCTGTGAGTTTAAGACCAGCCTAGTCTACAGAGCAAGATCCAGGACAGGCACCAAAGCTACACAGAGAAACTCTGTCTCAAAAAACCAAAAACGAAAACAAAAACCAAAAATAAACAAACAAAGAGAGAGAGGGGGAGAATATATACAATTATATAAAAAAATAGACAGTTAAAAAAAGTCTTTAAAGAGACAGTACTATGTTAATGTTAAAACCTTGCTTTTTAATTAAACAAAAAAGGGGAAATGCTGTGGGATAATGCTCTTGTACACTGGTTTAATAAAGCACTGATTGGCCAGTATCCAGACAGGAAGTACAGGTGGGGCAAGCAGACTAGGAGAATTCTGGGAAGAAGAAAGGCAGAGTCAGGAGTCACCAGCAAGACACACAGGAAGCAAGATGACAAGGCAGAACTGAGAAAAGGTACCAAGCCATGTGGCTAAACATAGATAAGAGTTATGGATTAATTTAAGTGTAAGAGCTAGTCAGAAATAAGCCTGAGCTAATGGCTGAGCAGTTATAATTAATATAAGCCTCTGTGTGTTTACTTGGGGCCAAGAGGCTGTGGGACGCAGGTGGGAGAGATTTGTCTTGACCACAGGGCTGGGCAGGACTGGAGAAACATCCGACTACAGATATGCACCACCATACCTGGCCAAATTGTCAATAAAACAACTTGGGCTAAATTGGAATAAGTTGTTTTCTGCTTAAATCTCAGACAGTTCATAAAACCCGGGATATGGAGTGGTGATGGTGGTTTACAGGCATCCAATGGGAGACTACACACCAGGGGACAAGCTCCAAAGTAAAGCAAGTTTAAAGTTATAGCTACCCTAAGTTCCTAGTTCCCTGAGTCCTTAAAATATGGCATCATTTCTTTTCCAAATGTATCAGGTGCCACATCACTCATATAAAGTTTCTAATGTGTACTGCTGTGTAAAGTTTGGAGACTGAACTAGATATGCTTTTTCTTAACTTTTTACTCCACTATCACAAATCATAACAACCTCAGTCTTTGTAGTATTTTAAATTAGTTGAAGAAAAGACAAGATAGAATAAAATGTAAATAGATAAAATGTGCCCCAAACACACACTAGCATGTGTTTTAGCTTCTGGTCTAAATCCAGCAAATTCTTTTGTCCCTAGAACATTGAGGTGATCTCGCTACCTACCCTGAGTCATGCAGGCCTGGGTATATGCTGGGTCTTTCATTAGTAGTATGAAAAATGCATTTCTCCATACTAAAAGTACAACTAAAGACCTGATTATCATCTAGTAAGTGGCTAGATTATCCCTAAAATCTCTATGCATTCTTCAAAGGATTAAGTTACAAAGCATATAAAACTTACATGGGGTCTATGTAATCAATATGATTATTTTTTGCATGCAAAGATTGGGGTTTAAATTGCACAGCCATGCTCTGATCCTGCTGTGGAATCTCTCCCCTGAGACTATTCTACTTACTGGCCTTTGCTGTTTATTGGACGTTGGATCTCTCACATAAATAGTTCGGTCAGTGTTACGTACTGGTTGAGTCTTCAAATCTACTCCATCGTCATGCAGATTGTCTTTCCTTTTAGATTTTATACATCCCATATTTCCTGTTGGAACAGAAAAGCAATGGCATTGTTTTTCAGTCAATCCAGAACTGGTGTAAAGCCATTCAGATCTCATATTAAAGAAGAGCAAAAAGAACACACTTTCATTCATTGTTACACATTGATTAATATAATCAAAGGTGGATGCTGTTTGGAAACAGGTTATCTTGGTTATTCATTTGTTCCTTCCTTCATTTACTTAAAACTACTGAGCTTCTCTCCTTTACCCCAAACCAACATAAGTCCTACTATAAAGGTGCTCCTATTTTTGTGGCAAAGGTATGTGAATCGGCATCACAGTATGGTCTGGTGAGTTTATGACACAGGCTACATGAGTCCTAATAGTGGACAGGACTTCTAATTCAGGCAAGAAGAAAAGGAGCTGGTCCAGGAAGCTTCTTGAAGGTTGAGATGAGACAGATTTAAATCTGGTGGCAAAATTAGCAAAGGGGTTCCAGGGAGGATTTTCAGATGCATCTATAGAGACCCCAGAGAATTTGGTCCCAAGAACTAGTGCAAGAAGAGTGAATCCTTTAGTGAAGAAGCAGTCAGGAAAGGCCAGGTGTCAGGGCTGGAGACAGAGACCATGGTGGGTACAAAGCTATCAGTTTAGTTCATGTTCCCTGAAGACAAGTGAAACATCCTGTCTGAAGAGTGTGAGGGGAAGATCAAGGCTGGAGACATCACAGGTCGGTGTGGTTCACAGGTCTACTGTAAAAGGCTTGGGAACCTACAGAGCTGGTGGTGGCCTTCGTCAAGACTGGAAATAAGGGAGACACAGGCAAGGGAGAAAGGATGCTTGAAGGATCATTCAGATGATCCAGTCCGGGGGGCTTCCTAGCAAGACATCTGAGCTTGCAAGTCAGGCAAGGTGGCAGTAGTAAATGCACAATGACATCATCTACATCTCCCAGCCGTGACCACAGACAGAACGGAGGGTGAGTGCCGGAACAAATGTTTGTTTGCTCTGGGTTACCCCTGGCCCCAGCCCAAGCCCCACTGCCCCAGAAGGAGTCCAAGACTGGTGTAGAAACTAAGTTGACTCAGCCTTTGAGGAAGTGCCTAAAATAAAGTAATTATGTTATCTTCTCAAAAAAAAATTTTTTCAAAAATCAAAAAGAAGAAGAAGAGGAGAAGGAACAAGTGGTACCTGGTCCCAAATAGCCACAGAACAAGAAAGAGTTCAGGGATGAAAACAAGAGGCAGGTGCTTCACAAAAGTCTCAGGAACTTGGCTGCCAACCCAACCAGTGAGGCAGGATTGAGCTCTGGGTGACTGACCACCTTTGTCTCTCCCAATGCCCCCCCCCCCCTTCCCTAATCTGCTGGCTGGAGATGAGACAGAAGAGATTTTCCAGGATGTTAATGAACCCACTGTCTTCTCAGATCACCAGTTCACTGAATAAAGTGTGGCTTTAAGATTCAATTCCTGGCTCTATCCACTGGTTTGTTAAGTGGCAGGCAGCAGGAATGGAACCAGTACAGCTCTGCACACTGCCCTCCTCCCACAGCTTTGACAAGCTCTGGGGACCAGGCAGGGTGTGAGGTCTTGAAGGCCAGCCACTCCTTTTCTGAAACTAGTGAAGTGGCAAGCAGTAGTTCCCAGAATAAAGGGGAAGCAAGCACTTTGCTTCACAACAGACTTTCTTCTTCTTTTCATAGCCTGAGTTTCTAAAATGGAGATGGGTTTTGGAGTTGATCTGTAAATAAGCATAAGTTTGTTCCCCAATCCATTCTTCACTCCACCCATTCCCAAAACTGCTGTCCAACTGACCATCCCTTATGATGGCACTTTATACATGAAGAAACACAGTGACAGAAAACCCTGGAATCCAGGCCCGTGAGCACAGAGAAGCTCCAGAGCGAGGGCAGTGTCTGGGCTCCCAGCAGGAGCTGAGCATCCTGTTTGTCCACAGTACCGCTCTGCCGTACTGCCCCAACACCTAAAACAGCACTGCTGCTCCACCCCTTTCCCTTCCCCCTCCTCCTCTTCTTCCTCCTGCTCCTCCTCTTTTTCATTTTTAAATTTTTGACAGGGTCTCAGTCTGTACCCCAGGTGACCAGGAACTTGCTCTGTCCTCCAGGCTGGCCTCAAACTCACTTTGACCTGCCTGGCTGGCCATGACCAGCTCAGCCTATCAGTGAGAGAAGGTATAGGTGTATCACTTCAGACGCCAAGCTTTGTGCTGACAACAGACTCACGTGAGTCTTTCTGATGAAAATATCAGAGGTGAAGGAAGGCGACAGGGTACAACCCATCTCAGGCTCCAGTTTCATGAGACAGCATTGGGTGGTAGAAGCCTCTAGAGTGGTCCTTTCCAAAACTGAAGTTTGGAACCAGGATGGTTGTCTGGGATCTCAGAGCTCAAAGGCTGAGGTTGTAAGATACAGTTCAAGGCCAGTCTGAGCTATACTGTGAGACCCCATCTCAAAAACAAACAAACAAAAAACAAAAACAAAAAAAACCCCATTAATTATTTTGTTTTTAAAAAGAAAAGTCACTCGAGTAGAATTAACTTAGTAGTTTATAGGAAATATAGGAGGTGGGAAGACAGAAAAAACTAGAAAAGTCTAGAATGTGCCCTGTTCTAAAAATGACTGGTCTGGAACTTTTATAGTTTCCATATTAAAAGAGACTAGGGGGTGAGGTACAGCTCAGTGTACCCATGAGGGCCAAGGTTCCATCTACAGCACTGCAGGGGACTGAATGACACAGGACCAAGAAGTAGAGTGGGTGACGCAGGACCACAGCCAGGACAGGCGGGGAGATGGGACACAGGACCACAGCCAGGACAGGCGGGGAGATGGGAGGCAGCCCCAGTATGATACAAGAAAATGTTTTATAGACTTGGTAAAGGCGCCTTGGAAATGCAGGATGGGGGTGTGTGGGAGTGAGGGTGCAAGTCTTTGCAACTCCCAAAACTTCCGCCACAGTGAGAGGCGGTGGAGGAGAGACAACATGTCTAAATACATGAAAATTAGTGACTCTGGGCAAAGGACATATCTTTTCACCTTTCCCTACAGATTTGAAAATTTCAAAAGGTAAGTTTGTTGAAAAACCTAAGTGGATACTATGAAAAGGTATACAAAATTCACTAATTTTTTGCCAGGTGGTGGCACACGCCTTTAATCCCAGCACTTGGGAGGCAAAACCAGGTAGATCTCTGTGAATTTGAGGCCAGCCTGATCTACAGGGTTCCAGGACAGCCTGGGCTACACAGGGAAACCCTGTCTCAAAAAACCAAGTTAAAAAAAAAAGATACAATACAAAATTCATTAATGTTTATATATATATATATATATCTCATATATATATCTCACATGTGGCATGTTGGCGCCTGTGTACACATAGGTATATGTGATTGCGAATGCTTGCTGGTACACGTTATAGCATGTCAAGAAGTGCCACCTTCGTTTCAGCAGGGAGCCACGGAAATTCTCTAAGTGGACGGGCACAGAGATAAGGAGGACTAACTTTATGGGAAACATTTAGTTGGGCTGGAAGGGCCCATCCTCCAGGCCCTTCGTGTGCAGAAGAGGTGCTGATGGCTGAGGAGGACAAGTGTAAAGTAGCAGGTGGACAGGGCAGGATGTCAATCTAGACCTGTGCTTCCACCGATTATTATTTGTTTCCCCCCGCCTCACCATCACCGCAATTAACCCAGAGCCAAATGTTTGTTCTGTGTGATAGACAGAAAGTGAATATACCACGGAGAGCAGTAGCACACCACATCACTCAGGCTGAGCTTCAAGCACGGAGCTCAGTTGTGGGTTCCTGCACACAAACCCAACCAGGTCCTGCAGCTCTTCATGCTGCATGGAAGAACCAGAAAACCCCTAAATGCAGTCTATTCCTATCAAAAACTTGAGGTATTGTTCCACATTCCCAAAGGACATCTTTTATTAAACATATAATGTGCTGACCTTCTTGTTTAATCCCTGAAGAAACTCACTGTCCACCGCATCCTGATGCTCACTTCATAGAGGACAGAACTGGGGCCAGGAGAAGTTAGATAAGTTCAAAACTGCAGCTGGTGAGTGGATCAGCCGGGCCTCCCTTCCACAGCACCCAGGCTGGTGTCAGGCTAATGCCACAGCCCATGCGCTTACCATTTCCCCACATGATAGCTGCTTGGAAGTACATATTTTATTAACACCCCTAAAATAGATGATCTTCATAGGCTGCCTCTTAAGATGCTATAAAATGTTTCACCACAAGAACCAGTAATAAGATTAATACAATGAGATCAGAGTCAGGACCAAGGGAAAGAGGTGAGAGCAATGTGCTTATGCCATTGGTGACTTACCTAGCACAGCTGAGCTGTGCTCACTCTGGGTTTACTTCAGGGACAGTATAAATCACCAGGGGAGAGGAAAGGGGCCATCCTTCTTCAGGGACAGGGTGTGCTCCTGTTAAGAATTCTAATTATATATTCAGTGGCCTTAGTGAAATGCCATGGACGATACTGTGTGCGTTGTTTCTTCTTGGTATTATACATCTTTCCTTTTCTCTTCATACTACTTCTATGTAGCCAAGGCTGGCCTTGAACTTGTAATCCTCCTGCCTAAGGTTCCCCAGTGCTGGGATTTTGGGAATGTGCTACCATACTCAAATCTGTATCATAGCATTTCTAGTAGTAAATAAAGACATTTATTTACTTTATTATTAAAAGTAATTATTGTCCAGGAGGAGGGGAATGGGAGTGTTAACTAAAATTGAGAGTGTAAAAGAACTCTTTGGAAAATCATTACTTTGTAATGTTAATTTTAAAATATAAAAATAAAATAAAGAGGGCTAGAAGGTAAAAGTGCCTGCCCAAAGTCTGGCAGCCTGAGTTTCATCCCTGGGACCTACATAGTAAAAGAACCTCTTATGTATGCTTTGGCGTGTGAACACACTTCACCTCAAAAATGTAATAAAAACAGTTTTTTTGGGGGGGGGCTGAATACAGATATTCAATATGGATGGACAGTGCTTCTCCAGGAGACTTGAATTGTTGTGGA